CGACCGAAACAAAGCGCGACCGAAACGAAGCGCGACCGAAATGATCGGCTACCGGCCTACCTTAGAGTCCTACAGTAGCCTACTAGTAGGCCTAGTCCCATCCTCCGCACAAATAAAATATTTTACGGTATGCCATTTATTTACATAGACTCTAACTAGGTGTTACTTTAATATCTAGGACTATTCTCGGTTTCATGACCTAGGCCCCTAGGCCTATAAAGAATTTTCTACAGTGAGACTACATACAGGCCTAGGCTAGGCCTAGCTAGACTAGAAAGTAGCTAGGCCTAGGCCGTAGGCTAGTTCCAGCGGCCATCCATATATAATTAGGCCTAGGGCCTAGCCTAGCGTAAGACTCGAGTGAAGAGAAAAACAGTTTTGATATGGGAAAGACTACAAATGATTATATGGTATAAACTACGGTAAACCAAAGCGGTAACACTTACGTTAAATACTGTTAAAAATCAATCACAAGAACCAAAAACAGCATTAACAATGAACGGGGAGCTATCCCAGAAGTAGCCGACGAAATACCGACGTCACTTTTTTGCAATACCGCCCCTACCAGTGTTGCTGATTTTGAAACAGCGCCACCAACGTCTCACAACTCACTGGGGACCATAGAGATTAGTTCTATGCTCTATGCTGGGGACTCCTTCCAGCAGCCTTGCTAAGCCTGAGCAGCTGGGCTAGTTATATAGCAGCAGTAGACAACAGATACGATCTTGCGAATTACTGTATTATGTAAACTTTGAAGTAGCTTTTTTGACACAGACTTGTTTTTATATAAACATTTCGTGTTTTTACCGGTGTAAAATATTTGTGCTCATTAGTAATTTAGTTTTATCGTTATATATCCACAGGGTGTCCCTAATCCCGGAAAACCTCAAAACTGGATAAATTGCGTTTTTCCGAATCCTTCATTAAAGACATGTTTTTTTGCATTCGTTATAAAAATGGAATAAGAAATAGGCATAATACTTCATCAATTAAAAAGTAGGCCTAATAATTAAAATAATAGGTCTTTGCTTTAGTGTAATGTTGGAATAACAAAATATTATAAAATTATATACGCCTTTTAATAAGGTTATAAGAATCAACGCATGAGTATATCCTCCCTGTGATTAATTTTGATTAACCTTTGTGACGTAAATTAAAATGATAAAAAAAAAAAAAAAAAATCAACAGTGTACGTTATCATAGTACATCGCGCAGCCAATTTAATTACAGTCCTGTCTTAGACAATGCAAAAAGTATTGCATTTATTTTGTTTATATTTTTGTCTTCGGTTTATGTAGGTGGCATTTCTGACAGGAAAATTTGGAATTCGCCAGACCACCAATGCAATCAATTTATATTAAAAATAAATGTACAGTATTTCATCTCTCATCCTGACCTTCGCCATGCGAACAGTGCGCGAGGTCTGGAATTGAACCGCGCCTGCCTCTAGGTGCCCGGAAATTGAACTCTCATACTTTAAACCGGTAATTCATATCAATAACACTATAGGCCTAACAATTATTATTCCTAATAAAACTAGCTTTCTATTTAGGGTTTATCGATTCATGGAAAAAAGAATACCGTATGCATGTATGCAACTTGCAACTACTCATTTTATGTATGTATGTATCTATGTATGTATACACACATAATAGATTTATTTACTGTAATAACAATGAAAAAGTCGTGTATCGTAGTAAATCTACCTTCAATGTAATAACGTGTTAACTCCGACGTGTTCGTTGTTTGAATGTGGTGTTGTGGTATTGTCTCTGAATGTATATGGCTGAATGTGTATTGTGGGACTTGTATTACATGCATAGACCTATTATAGTTCAAATGCGTGGCAAAATAAAGTCACGACAGTTATGAAATTTGGACGTAATCAGCAGGAAAATGTGTTAATTTTTCGGGGAGTGGTGCCGGGGGGGAGGAATTGTCTTTCCCCAGCAGTTGACCCCACCCCCTCCCCCCAACAACACTCCTCAGAAAAGAGGAAAAACCACATAATTCGTGGGGGAGAAAATCAAAATTATATGTATTTTTCACATAAAGTCGATTAAATAAGCCTCTGAAACCACTAAATTGTCATATTTTGCGGGGCTATCCCCTCGTTCCCCCCCCCCCCCCCCCAGATTTCAGACACAGGCGCCGCCATTGAACTAAGGGATGCCATTAAGCATAAAGTTTGGCCATCTATGCTTATCTAAATTCATTAGATATATTAACGGATGCTGATTACTACTGTACTAATTAATCACGCGTTCACTGTCTTGTGCTATAGCTTGTTGTCGGATACTGATAAATGGGTCAAACAACATTCAAATCAAAAGGGCAGAGAAGCCAGGGTAGCGCACCTCCATATCCGGGTTACTGTTAACCAACTACGAACACAGGACAGTTAACAGGATTCACGCTCAATTAAGCCAGGTTATTAAAAGGGCGGAACCAGAGGCCTAACCATGTACGTATTACTTTGCATTTTTCATTCATTGGTATAGGCCCTATGTGTCATATTGGGGAGCTTTCAAAAATTGCACAAAACTTTATTAAACGATTAATAAGTAAATGCTCCAATCCTCTAGCACCCTTCCTTACCATGGTGATTCGGCAAATTGAATGATAACGGCACAATTTGAGCCTTGATCGTTTGGGGCTTACCATAAAAACGATTGGTTTCGCAGACAAAACAACAATATTACAGTAGGTTAACGTTGTATAATAGGTCTAGGATTTGTGAGGGTCAAAGTCTACTTAGCCCTACTAAAGCTACACATAATAATCTGTTTTTCATGTCACTGACGAATTTCGCTTGTTCTTTTCCTCCTGAATGCGATCGACCCATGTAAATATAAGTAAATTGTAGAGCTAGGAATACCAAAGTGTTCTTCCAGATTATAGGCATCATAAACAACAAAAAACATGGAGAATGTGCTTTGTGTATTATGTATGTAGTAGGATTTATATAGCGCCTAATACCAAAGTCAAATCTATTTAAGCGTATAAGGTGAACATGGAAATTTTCAATTTTAGAACCTCAGTAAGGTATAATTACCCTCTCAACGTTTCGATCACTCCCAGAGATCTGAATCTTAATAGATACAGACAGAGGACCCCACCGAGGCATATGTGTCAGTGTGTGTCATCGATCTGAAAGCTATTAGTTAGGTTATTTATCTATGATTTTATATATAGAAAGTTCAACATTTTTGTAACGGAATTCCTCACGTTTGGGGCCAATATTTGGGACATGCCCCGTAATTGTTTACAGTATTGTACACTTATATATATATATATATATATATATGCCTTTTTCACCTGGTAGTATAATGGTGGGAGATGAATGAAATTGAAGTCAAGTACATGCATAGCAAGGTATTCAATGTCTGTGGGATCGCAGTCAGGGGTTCCGAGGGCTTTACTGTATAATCAATATTATTTTTCTAACAGTAGATTACTGATTAAAATGTAAATATTTAAGACTTTTTTTTAATCACAGAAAATCACTAATTTTACAAAATTAACCCATTTTACCACCCCACCCTAGAAAACTTTACATTTTACATGCCAATTAATACAGTATTTATCGCTAATTAATTAGATATCTTCTCAATTTTCCGGTGTTTTTTTTTCTTTTCTTTTTCTTTTTCCACTTCTAACGCTACGGTATTCATAATAGGCCTATGCAGTATCTCAGTGCTATGTGATCAGTACCCTCTTTTTTTTTCATTTCTCATTTTTATTTCTCTTTTTTTCGAAATTCATATCCATAAAAACCCTTTGTAAAAAAGTATATATGGACTCAAATATTCCTCAAACGACAAACGATAATTAGTGCACTTGCACTACGTTTTCTACTGTAGATTGTCATAATAGTTTTCATAGTTTTCAACTGTTGTAACACGCTCACATGTAATTCGACAAATGTTATAGCCTATACGTAGGGCCCTATTCGTATGTTTCAAGTGATCGTGGTTGCTATTTTGGGGAGACAGATAGCAAATTTAGACTTCGGTGTAACAAACATAAAAAAATCCATTGATAATGCAGTTGGTTTTCCAGTTGCAATTTTAATTTGCCTAACCATGGCCATTTCTATTGATGACGTTAAATGTAATAATAGCTACAGGTTTTTAATGTCTAATGGATAGACGTTGTGCTGAACTGCAGTGAAAATTAAACACTCATAAATTTGGTATCAATAAAAAATCTTGGGTTCTTTAACGAATACTCATTCACGAAATAAGCTATACTATTTAATCATACTATGCACATGTATGTATACAGTATAATGTTTACAAAGTAGTACATATATTTACATGGTATAATTAGGCTATCCATTTTTACTATCACGATTACTTTATTTACTCATATGTTTATATTGCCAACATTTTGTTTATTTCACTCTGTTGTTTGTTATAGGCCATTTTTAGCTCTAACATTGTCAAACAGTTTATTGGTTAATTGGTTGCTCATTAGGTGCCTATTATCTTGTAATTTTATTTTACTTCCTTTCCTTACAGTTTTTATCTATGTTTTACATTTCTTTCATTCATATGACTAACGCCGAGGAAGGACACAGGCGTGTCCGAAATATTCGTTTGAAATACATTTTATGTGTATTATGTCAAGTATGCAGTTGTTTTACTTTTTACTTCATTTTGTGTCTATCTTAGAATCTTTTCATTTGTATCTATCTTAGTGCTTCAAGTAGGGGATCCAACAACCGATGTCGAGGCAGTCTTCTTTTGAAAATGTCCGAAGCAAGAAAATCATGCTCTAGTATTTAAACATCACCTCATATCTCCTTATTTTGCGACCTAACACCTCTCACTTAATCAATGAGTCCCCCACCCCGACTCGACCCTCGTTCCCATCAAGCATAATTCCTCCATGTATCAACCACCCTCTCAATTTCAAGACTTCCACGCCACTTTAGAGGTTTAAGCCCAGTATAACCCGGAGGGGAAACCTTTAATAGCAAATATATTGTTGATATAGAGTACTCGCATAGAGGATAGTTATTTTCAAATATTTCAATACGAATCATGGTCTACTCGTTGGTTAAGATTATTAATATTATTTTTTACTCCGTTTAGGTCTTCCAATAAGACACAACAGCTCCAGAAAGACGTAGATGATTTGACGAAGATCATGCAAGAAAATGTTGAAAAAATTCTGGAAAGAGGAGATAAGATTGAAGATTTGACTGATCATGCAAGTAAGATTACGACTACTATATTATCAGGGTTGCTCAGTCGAGTTGTAAACATAGAGCAATGCGAACACAGTGATTTGCATAATGGAGGTTGAGGTATTGGGAATGGAGCATAGAATACTGTCCCCGATTTTCAAATGTTAAAATGCTTGGGCAATAGGTCCTAAAACAAATCTCTATATACCTTATATTTTATTATTATTTATTAGATTATGCTCCCTGGAAGTAGATTTAGCATAATGTAAAATCCATTTACACTGTATGTTGACTTTCGCTTAATGAAATGCGTATTTCAGATGGAGTAAAATGTTGACTTATCAATATTTATCGCTTGTAGACGAATTAGAGCAAAACTCTGCAGGATTTAAAAAGACGGCTAAACAGGTCAAGACACAAATGTGGTGGAAAAATACAAAGGTAATGGAAATGAATAGAAACTGCTAGGAAGTAGTTATACTACCGAGAGAAGTGATATTTTTTGTTAAGTTCAGTATATAAAATTTATGTGGTTTTATTTTTTTTTATATATTCTTCTGCAGTTAACGATCTTGTTGGTTGTCATTGTGCTGTTAATTATCACGATTATTGTTCTGGGTAAGATATTTTCAACAAGTTATTTCAAAATGTTAAGATTTTTCATGGAATATCCGCCAATACCGCCACTCGACATTTCTTGTGTTTTCTATTTTAAAAAGAACCCGTCACGTTAAGGAATGTCAACTATTATTCTTATTGTTATTTTTCAGTTTTGGTAGTTTTCTAAGTTGTTATTATTATAGATTATTACTATTATAATTACTAAAATAACGTATTAATTGCAATTTGTTCACAAAAAAAATGGAGACTAGCCGACTACATAAGTATCCAGTGCGACCACACGTTATTTCGGGAAAAATAACATTCCCGGCAAACCCCTTTTGTAATCTATACTAAAACCATATGAACTGCTTTATTGTTATTGTCATCATCTATCTATTGTCGTCATCATCATCATCATCATAATCATGAACAATATTATCATTATCAACAAGTTAAGAGAATAACCCATAACTCGCAGCGTCTTTGTGCTCAATTGCGAAGGGCATGGTCTGGACAACATAGCAGCCGTAGAGAAGCGCGTTCATGTTCACATGCTGAAATGTACCATTGGGGTATCCCACTCTTCCGAAAGATGTTTTTTTTTTATGTTCAGGCGAGCCAGATATGTACACCTATAAAAACAATTGTGTAATTTAAAAAATTAAATGTCAGTACTGTATATCTTAGTATAAACATTTTTGTAACTACATTTTGTTTATTACTGCAATTATTTGTTTTAAGTATTTTAATGTTATGTTGGCCCTTTGTAAATTAGGATAAATTTCAGAATTCTTTCATTTGTCTGCTTTTCTTAATTTGTTTATATGTACAGTATATGTTTAATTTGTTTGTTTGTTTAATTTATTTCTCCACACACATGAACATATTAACATACATAACAAAAGCTTAATAGTAAAACCAACTAAGAATAGTAGTACATTACAGAATGTAATGTATTTGAATGTGTGTGTTTGAATGAAATAAATATTCGGAGCGTATATTTGAATGAAATAAATAAACCAAACTATATTATTATAATTATTAATTAATATAATTATTACTATTTATGATTAATTACATTACCGTACTAATACTATGTATTAGACCTACCTACTACCTACTTTACTACTGCTGCTCGTATTATTAGGCCTGATAAAAAGTGATGAATTATTAGGGTAGTATGTACTGCTATTTTTGCAGTTTTCATCATATTCGAGTCTACATATAGGTTATCTCTTTAAACTTACAGCTGCTTGGCGACCATGGAAATAACGTATCGGGATGGCGTCTCTCGACACCCATGGCAACGGAGAACAACTTGAGACAACTAAGAAACATTTCTAACATACTTTTGATTGCGAGTGCTATGCTGGATTATAGTGCCGTAAATGGGTTGTAAACTGTCATCTTTATTGTAGGTTTATATAAACATTCGTATCATAAACGTAATAAGTTATATCTATGTATTAGCAATGACGTCACGATTGAGCGACGTTCATCGGCTGTCTATCATTCCCAATGCTAATACCATATTTATTCAAATAATGCCTCGGGCGTTTATTGTTGGGAAGGAATTGGGGTAGCTTATTTTTTATTTATTTTTTTTTTTTTGTAAAAATGGTTACGATAATGTACTCAAATAAACGCCCCTTAATTTCACTGTAAATGTGGAATTACAACATAATTACCGTCAAAATGTGTTATTGCGTGATCATAGAATTGATCCCAATCAAAAATGTAATTCTATCTATTGGAGTAGAATATTATTGAGAATATTATTGTGTTGAGAATGATGTTGCTTCCATTTGCTTACAATCATTTAGGGGGGCGTTTATTCGAGGAAAAAATAAACGCCCGGGACGTTTATTCGAGGGACGCTCCGAAGCTTATTCAAGGGGTGGGGTGTTTATTCAAAGTGGGGAGTTTATAGAATAAATACGGTTTAATTAAGGTACCAAAGCTTACTTAGAAAAAAAAAGTTATTGTTAACATTTTTCTGTTTTAAATATAACATAGGGCCTAGTCAGACACTAGCTTCCAAGCGACTTTTAATATTTATAGTTATTGACGTTAAATACGGTATAGATCGAGAGTCGCATCTCTTTACATACTTTTATTGATTTTATCAATGAAATTACACAATAATAATAATAATAGTAATAATAATAAATAATATATTTATATAGGATTTCACAGTTAAGTATAAACCTGTTTTTCGCTGTGGTCCTGTTAGAGAAATGTAATACAGTACGATTCGACACAATCAGGAAAATACATAAGACATATACCTAGACTTTAGTGTGTTAATTGAGAGCGAGTGTTTGATATCAGCTGGTAGTTTGTTCCAGACTTTAGCGCCAGCTACCTAGCTACCTTAAAAGAAAAAACAAATTACTTAATGTATATAGGAGCACAGCAACATTAAAATTCGTGTTAAGTGTTAAGTGAGTACTGTATGTCTTTCACTAACAATTTCAATTTCAGAATTGTCACCAAAGCAATATAGGTTACATAGAGATATGAGCCTCTATATGCAAATTAGGTACACTCTACTGACAGTAAAACCGAAATGTTCACTGATTAATCTATAAGATAATATAATACATACTCCAAGTATCGAAAAGCACGCCAAGATACACGATGGCGTGTATTTCGATACTTGGAGTATTTACTTTAAACTGACAATATGAAACAAATCTGAACAACGATTAACTTAACTAAATATTTAAATATTGTAAACCTGTATGTTTCAAAATTAGGACTTTTGAAATTATATTATTATTATGTTAAAATAAAGATAGAAATAAACTGTATATTTACGCAATCGTGTACAAATCTTTCTCGATCATGATTTGTGTCACTAAATGGTGTGTTCAGGCCTATCTAATTCCTCAACGTTATCAAAGACTCGAAAAGATAGGCCTAGGCTTGCAAATTACTACGGTATTATTCTTTTTTTTCTGGCTTCTCCCTTCTAAAGAAGCTTGGAAGTTAAGGGTAGGTCTAGTCAAGCCACAAAGCTGAGTCTGATGATCGTAATGCTGCACCCCGGAAGCTTGGACATCCAGCAGCTTAATTATTAAGCGATGTAGAATCAATATGCCTATGTATTAATATACCGGTACTGAACAACAAATTTGACATAGTAGTTGAATTCAATATTATTTCATTATTCAATACAGGCGCTTGCCCCATTTTCCAAAGAGGCAAATCGTCAGTGCCGATACTCATTCATTGAACGTTGTCAATCGAATGGCTAGTAACTTCCGTATTGATGTATATTACACTATACGATTCACTACACAATACTATTGAACTGGAACCTTTGACTTTTTATGATTACTTCACAGGCCCGTAACTAGGATTTTTTTTGGGGGGGGGGG